AAAAAAAAAAAACTCCATCTAAAGATACATGTACTAATGATCACGTCTAAACAGCATACAAGAGCATCCAAACAGTTGGATCCCTGCTCTTGACCAACTCCGACTTTCGCCTCTTCCTCTCGGATCTCGGTGTGGTTTCTCGCCAAGTGTTCCGTGACACTGCCTTTGCCCTCTCTGCCGCATCGAAAGAGGCAGGCAAGCGCCTTGAGCCTTCCAAGGAAGAAAAAGAATCCGTGGCGAAACCAGGGAATGATGCGACAACCGACAAACCGGCCCAACAGGACTTGCAGGATCAGGCTGCTGAGGTCGGGGAGGTGCTTGGAGACGTTGCGACCACTGTGGCCCAGGAAGCCGAAAGTAGCATCGTCGACAAGCTACAGGGCGACGAGACCGATACTCTGCTATACCGCCTGAAGCAAGCTGTTACCAAGCTTCGAGACCGCAGGGATTACTCGGATTCAGTATCGACATTCTCGCTCCTCCTAAAACGATATGCCATGGTATACTCGCGCATCGCTCGCGATACCCTAAACGCTGCCGACCAAGACATTGACCGTAACCCAGAGACGGACAAAGCTCTAGAGAACTTCTGGCTCTTCATAAAGTCCTTTGGCGAACAACAAGAATGGGAGGAATTGGAAAAGAGGTTCAAGCTGGTCATAGACCATGGTCACAGCGACCCCGAATTCGAGAAGCTGATCGGTGAGCTAGGCAATGCTGCCCAGGAGATGTTCACCGACCCATCTTTCTTTGACCATGCCGAGGAGCGCTTCCAGGACCTCCGAGACCAGTCCCAGCAGCTCGCTTCTCGCTCTTCCCTGCGTGATGACATTGATGGCTTGTTGTCACAGTTGCAGTCCACCTTCCGGTCTGTTATGCGTGATCGTGATATCTCTGGCCTGCTCAAGACGTCAGCCACCATTGGCAAGATCTTGTCGCCGAAACACCACTACACCAACACAGACTTGGTGACAGACTCCATTAACTTCTTTGTTCCATTGCTCATCCAAGCGATCAACTACATTCCTATTCCCAGGTTGGAGATCTCCACACCCGAGATTGACCTTCTGCTCGAGAACCTGATCCTCGAGCCTGGCAAGACCATTAACCACACTTCGTTCTTCCCATACAAGCTTCGTATCGAGACCCTCAACGACATCGAAATCCGTAAGGCCAGATTCCGTACCACATCCGCCATGAAAAGTCTAGTGAGAATCAAGATCAATGGACTCTCGGTCCGCGCCGAGGAAATGGGTTTCTGGATGAAGGCACATACCGGCTTACTGCGCTACGTCGATGAAGGCATTGCCTCCTTCGCAATGGACGAACGGGGCATGGATCTCGAGATCGACGTCGAGGTCGGCCGTGACAGGATGGACAGCGTTCTCTCCCTCCGCAGCGTCCGATGCGAAATCCACAAACTCGACTTCACCATGCGCCAGAGCAAGCTCAGCTGGTTGGCCTGGCTCTTCAAGCCCTTCATGAAGCCCATCATCAAGAAGACCATTGAGATGCAAATCGCCATGGGCATCGCCCAGTCCTTGCGGTTCGCCAACCGCGAGATCCTCTTCGCCAGGGAGAGACTCCGCGCCACGCGCATTGCGGATCCGGATGATCTCAAGACGTTCTTCAAGGCTATCTTGGCGAGGTTGACGCCTCCTGACGATCCGGATCTCAATGTCCGTGTGGGTGTTATGGATCCCGGAAGAGGCGTGTTCGACGGGGTGTATGCTCCGGGAAGTATTGTCAAATTGTGGAATGAGGAGGCTACGCAGGCATCGCAGAGGATTCGGGAGAATGATCAGGATGGATGGAGAAATAGCATTTTTGATGTTCATGCTACTTTGATGACTTGAGTGGTAGGTCAAAGGAAGAACTACTAGGGTCATTGACGGGTAGGTATGAAGGAGAGACTGTTTTTCTTCTATTTTGATGGCACATTTTGGTGTTTTATGGAATAGCGATATGGTTTTTGCGGTATAATGACAGGTTTACGACGGATATGCAACTCCGATATTTCAATTCTCTCTACTGTCATTTCGAAATCTCCCTCAGATGGACACGCAGAAGGGAACATTGTCACATGTAATTATGCCTTCTATGAGGTTTGGCACTTGTAACTATAGCGAAGGGGGAAACAAAAAGCGCTGGCGGAGACTTTCAGTACTGGTTTCATCTTTCAAAGCTTCGTGATGCTTTTAACAGCCTTCCAGAGCAAAAGGTAACTCATTGGAAAGCATACCGATCTCGATCACAAAAATTACGGCAAAAGCCGTTGGGAGCAAAAGCAAGTATAGTCTGTTTCAGTCTTGAAGGTGGACATCTCTTCCGACACCCCCAAGAAAAGAGATCAGACCAATCGTAATCCAGGAATTCCGTGCTATGACTTCATACCAGACTTTCTTTAGACGACCACTCATCTCCCAGCCGTCTCAGCCGTTTCTTATGCCGATCATAGGTCATACATAGGCCGTCCTTTCAACATTCAGATCTGGTGCCAAGAATTATTGGTCTTCTTGTCGACTTTGTTCAAAAGCGGGTGGTATCAGGTTATCAAGTTTCTCTCCAAGTTTTCCAAGGTGGGTACTTACAAGCGAGTCAAGCCATGTTTCTTGTGATATGTTGTGACAGTGATTATTTGTCCGGTCATTTTCTTGTCACACGTAGACGGACGGTACTACACAAAGACCTATGGAAGAAAAGTGGATGAGGCCTCCCATACTCCAGTTATTGGCTATGGCCGTTCTGGGTTCAACGAGTGCCGGGACGGGGACCAAGGAAGCATGGAAGATGTTCAAAGTACCGGTGACCAACCACATGTTATTCACAGACCATATGCTCCCGTAGTTACTAGTGGACAAACACAAACCACGTGCAAGATGGAGCATGGACCTGAAATGTGAAAATCACCGAAAAGCAACGTGAGCCAAGGAGGTGTTCAGATAGTGCCAAGAATAAGGAACCATGGCCATGACGAGAGCCTAGGTACCGTGCCCTCCTTGACAGGACCCTGAGGTTTGTCTGCAGGGACTGGTGAGCTTGGGTGAGCCTGTGTGGGAAAGGATGAAGCATCATATCGGAAAGGATGGTGGTGATAAGGAAGGACTTGGCTCAACTTGGCTGATGTGAGTATGTCGTGGTCTGTGTGGTGTGTGGTGTTTGGTGCGGTATGGTATGGAGGGTAAGTTGATGCCCAGTTTGAGGACATGGAAACGGGTTACCTTGTCATGTCATGTCGAGTTTGAGGATTTGACCTGAGGTGGGTGGGCGGAAGATAACGAGCGCTGACTTGATGTGATGGTTGTGATATATGTCATGCCCTCCGACACAACAGACGTGGTTTAATCTGGCTTCTTCTGTCAGTTCTCTCGACATTATCGCTCTAGACAAATCGAAACCACATTAACTCGTGGAATATCAACCAGCACTTTACCTCAACTAACCAATCTCGAACCTTGATAGCCGATACATCTACTAGACGCACCCGCAATCGCCAAAATGATCCTAGTAGACATCATCTCCATCATCCTCCGCCTGGCGGAACTCGCCTTCGCGACCATCGTCGCCGCTCTCAACGGGCGCTTCCTGCACGCCGTCCGCGGCACCTCAACATGGGATCTCGGTCGGCACATCTACACCGAGGTGGTAGCGGGCCTGTCCATCTTGTTCGCCATCATCTGGCTGTTCCCCTTCTCGAGCTCGTTCATCCACTGGCCTATGGATTTGGTCATTTCCATCATGTGGTTTGTGAGCTTTGGGTTGTTGGTTAATTGGTTAAATGGGGCTTGTGGGTATGTATCTCCCCTTTGGTTTCCTGGGAGAAGATGAGATGAAATGGATAGGTGCTAAAGAGTGCGTGTTTGTGCAGGTATGTCTTCGATTGGGATAATGTTGGGTTTGGTGGTGCGGGTAGCTGTGGTGAGTGGAAGGCTACGGTTGCTTTTGCCTTTCTCAGTGCCATTTGCTGGCTTGTTAGTGCTTTGGTTGGGTAAGTTTTGTCACTTCCATGACTTGGTAAATGCTGTCGACAGATGCTAACATGTGAAAATACGTTGTAGTCTCTACTGGGTCCGTCGCCATACCCGCGCTCCCGTTGATACGGGCTATCGCCGTCGCCGCTGGTATCGCTCTCGCGTCTAAGTTCAGATGCTTCGTGTTGCAATCGAACGGTGGATGTGGACAATTTCACTACCGTACCATATGACGGAGGTCTTCGTCTCTTGGGAGAGAGAGGCTAACCTTCCGCCTTGTTTTTCCTACATATTTTGTAATTTGGACCTGGGGATGTTTTGTCTGGAGGAGTGATGGGCGGAAATGATACCCGATACCCCGAGAATGCAATTGAATCTGGACCGTTGTCGCGATGGAGTAACTGTGCCTTTTGGACCCTGTTCTTCAATCGCATTTCTCTTTGCCCCTGAACAAACCGATGGAATGACGGGCGTTTATGGAGACCCTCATGGCCTTCATGGGATGATAATGACGGAAAACGGGCCGCAAAAGTTATAATTAGCTGCCATGTTGCCTGCTTCTTGGCCCTCGCGTGGGAGCTGAAACTCTTTAGAATCCAGTCGGTTATCCCCCTTTGGGTAGATATCCTGTTGATCGTGGTGTTTTCTTGGTCTAGATCGTATGAGACTGAATCTGAGTCCAGCGTCTGGAATGCTTGTTCGAAGAATCAAAAGGTTCAGATTGAAGCTGCGTCATTGGTGTAGGGCTGAAGTGGGGTATTATGACGTAGTTATAGTGGGGTTACGTGGAGAGGCAGGCATGTTGACTTTGACCCTTCTGACACTGCAACGGGAAATTTCAGATTGAATCAGATTCCAACATGAAGCTCAAATTGGCGCGCCACAGCAGCTACAACAAGGAACACGGTCGCAATCCCGTCAAAAACCGTTCGTATTATCCATGGGAGCGGGAAAGTGTGACGGCAGATCGGTGGTACGGAATTGCTGCAATCACCTGGATTTTTCCCGAATGGCAACATCGAAATTGCCTTTTCCAGCTCGGCTTTTTGTTGCTGTTTTGTTCATCTGCCCTGCCCTGGTGACTCTGAAGATCTTCACGGTCAGAGAGCTGAACAGAAGCCAGAAGACACATTGCTTGGCAACGGAACATGGAAAAGTTGGTAGGAGCTGACGAATGGTCCTTTGAGAGCTGCCCGTTACATAACGCTTTGACCAATAATGTGCAAGGAACAGACCTGGTTTAGCTTGTTTCACAGTTCCTTGAAGCTTTCTGCGAAAGCTTCATCCAGATGATGATCAGGACCCTGATTGTCACTTCCCACTTCCTCATCGGCTTTGCCAATGTGCAATTCTGATGGACGATAATTCCGATCCAAATGAGGCTTGACTTGTAAAAACTCCACGTCACAGCCACAGATCATGGGTAAATCATGGCTGGGTTTGAACTGTAGCGTTGCGGGGCCCCTCTTAGCATGACGTCTTTGCCTCCATCTTTTCTTTCACATCCAGCGGAAGGTGCTTGTTGGCTAACACGGACAAGTGCGGCTTTGCTCCATATGGCGTTATGCCGCAGCCCTTGTTCGTCTGGTCTGCACTCAACGCACCGATGACGACACCGGACAAGAAGACCGCGAATGGGCCCGAGTACCACTTACACTACACGTCCCGTTACCTGCCTCGCTTGTTGTCCTGCATACACGGCCAGCAGGCATAGCCAAGCAGGAACGGCATGTACTGCCGTCAGATGCCTCGTTCCCTGCCGACCTCACCTGGGCTTGCCAACGGTACCTGGTAAGCCTTGGCTGCCGTCCAAGAACTGGATCGAGATGATGCCATGGCTCCCTCTTTACGCCATTGTCCCCTTTCCCAGACGTCTTCCTCAGTCGAAAAAGTGAAGTCGACTCTGGCATATAAAGAACACCATCCTCTCCCGATCTCAGCTCATATTTCCGATTCCTCAATACACTCAAATCAACCAACCCAACAATCATCACAATCAACACCAAACAACACTTTGATACCCCTTCAAATTTTATATTATACCCCCAACACGTACCTAACACCCAAGAACAACATCCAATATGTCCGGCATCATCAACAAGATCAAGGAGGCTGTCCACAGCGACAACTCTGCTCACCACGGCGCCCCTGAGGGCACTGCCGGCCCGCACAACTCCCGCGCTGCCAACGCTGCCGATCCCCGAGTAGACTCCGACATGGACGGCTCCCACCGCAAGGTTGCCGGCCACGGCGAGCACGGCGGCCAGGCCGCTTATGGCGGTGGTCACCCCGAGGCCTACACTCTCGGCGGTAGCCACCTCCCCACCACTGGCTCCAACACCACCGGTACCCACGCCGGCACTCACTCTGGCACTCACGGCACTGCTGAGGGCGTTCACGGCCCCCACAGCTCTCGTGCTGCCAACGCTCTCGACCCCCGTGTTGACTCTGACCGTGATGGTTCCCGCACTGCCGGCAACACCGGCTACAACACTCATAGCACTGGTAACACCTATGGCTCGTCTGGCACGCACGGCACTGCTGAGGGCGTTCACGGCCCCCACAGCTCTCGTGCCGCCAACGCTCTCGACCCCC